AATTATTAAAATACTGTTATAAACTTATTCATTGCAAAATAGATGAGTTTGAGAAATATACGGCAGAACAGTCTTTTATAAAATTAAAATCTCAATCGAAAATTCTTTAATAAGCAGTAATAACTTATATAAAAGATATAAAAATAAGATAAGCATCATAAAAATTTTATTGACGATAGATGGAATATGCACATGCACACAGAAATGCATTTCACACACGGAATTACTGACATCAAAATATCGAATAAAGTTTTAATACTATGAATCATGAGGGCATTTAAATACGTTAAATAAAATGATGTTCTTTATATTACATACAATAAAAATAAATATTTTTAATCATTTGTGGATAAATGTCATGTTGTTGTTCTAAATTTATTTTTAAAAAAATTGCCAAAATTTATTAAGAAGAGTGTAAATTCAAACGCACATATGTGTAAAAGTTATTATTAAGATTATTAATTATTATTAAATAAATAAATAAAATTATCAACGGCCAGTTTATGTAACATATTTTATTTTTTAGAAATGGGCATAATCGATTATTCAATCATTTAATCGATTATCTTTTAGTCTTGAAGGTCGACGGGAGACAAAATTATATTATCTACATCCCGATTGTACTATAGTAGAAAAGCGCATTCGATTTACAGTTGCGTCTATTTAATATAATCGATTTTTAAATCCAAATAATTGAGATTGTGCAGTTCATCTTTATTTCCTATTTTATGATTGATTTGTGAGAGGTATCCGAAGTATTTTATTGAAATATCTCGCAGTTTTATCGGACGGCTCTATAATCGAGCGAGCGCCAGTCAGCTGACCGTGAAAATGGAGCATCATCTGCATTACTGCGAAAGGGGAAGGACACGAAAGTTAAAACATAGTATTTTTTTAGATGGAGTTTAAATTGCAAATATCGATAAGTTCTTCAGAAAATCTAAATTACAAACTGTAACTGAAGACGAAATATAACTAGAAAAATCAATAGATTCTCAAAATGGTCTATAATGAATAACCCTTTAATAACTTATTATTAACTTAAATTTTTTGAAAAATTGAATATTGCATAGAATATTCACACACAATTAATGATATAAGAAATATTCCATATTTTATCATCGTATATATTCGATGATATTCGGTGATGCGTTCAGCATAACGAATGCACGAATGCTCAATAATTATGCCTGGAATAAATCCATGATTGGAACAGATCCATGATAAACCTAGCTAGAATATATCCATAGGAGCAAGCATCATTCGATTCAATTGTTGTGTTCGCTGAACGTACCGGGTATTTAGTTAGGAGCATAAAACATTTGTGCTCCAATATATACAATGTATATCTATGATGAAAGATGATGTGTATTAGATATTTATGTCGCGATTATTTCTTCTCGCCCAAGTGCATCGCGACGCTCTTTTCCATCTGACGCGCATGAATAGTGTGAGTATGATAAAGATAGAGAGTTATAATACAAGAGTTACGGCTC